CTCTACAGGACGTCAAGGTACAAATTGGGCTCCCGTTCACAAAAGAACTCTTTCTCGAGCCATTCGTTACATTCGTTACATCAAAAGAGCAATCATGAAGAAAGCACCAAAACTGAAGCCGGCACACAAAGAAAAAAGGATGTCTTGGCTCGGGATCAACTCACCATCGATTAGAAAAAAGTAAGCTTTTTGCCTTGCGTTGTTAACTATTTTTTTCTTTGTAGTGATTTCAGCGATGAGAAAAAATTTAATTTGGATGGTCCCGACGGCAACAAGTACCCTAAAGTCTCGAGTATAAGTTGATCCGAGTATAAGTTCTGCCTTAATTTACATTCGCTTTAATTGCTTTGAATTTCTTTTTGTTGGGTTTTTAAACATTTTTATTGTTATATAAACTTTTATTATTGTTCTTGGAGCGCGGGATACTACAGGGTGACAGCCTATCACCATTGCTACTTTGTTATGTGCATGGATACATCCAGACGATAGTGTTGAAGAAGACGCTGGAAAGCATCTCTTTCGACCGTCGACGTGGACTTTGGCCGGATGAAGAGGCCAGGGAGGGATCCATAAGACTGAGCACCGGAGAGGAGCAGGGTGGACGCGCCGAGCCACGCCCGGAGCAACAAATAACAGCATAAAATTGCTATAACCCTCAATAAATTTACTTCTATTATCGTTCTTAAAAAGCAAAAAAGTTATGCTGCAGCGGGGTTCGAACCCTGGACACACCGCACCGGAGACAGCCGTCAATTTGCATGCGAAAACCAAACAGAACTTATACTCGCGACTTTAGGGTACTATTGGCACGATTTGAGAAAAGATCCAATGCTTTGTGGGCGTCGAAACTTCGGAGGAGGATCACTGATGATATGGGGCGCTTTCAATGTGGATGACGTTCTTGATTTAGAATTTGTGACTTGTCGCATGAACTTGAACAATTACCAGGATGTCCTTGCGGATCAACTACTTCCTTTCCTAGCACAAAATCCAGCGAAACACTATATTTTTCAACAGGATAATGCTTCAATTCATGTCAGCCATTCCACTAAAGCTTTTCTGGAACGTCACAACATCGATTTTCTCGAATGGCCTGCCTGCTCACCGGACTTAAACCCAATGCAAAACTTATGGGGCATCCTCGTGAGGAATATTTATGCTAATGGAAAGACTTACGACATGATTTCGCAACTCAAAAAAGCAATTTTGCAAGCTTGGACGTCAATTCCACCACAAACGCTTCAAAACTTAGTGAACTAGATGAAAAGTCGACTAGTCGACGTCGCCGAGAAGAAGGGAGCATCTATTGATTATTAATGAACTTTTCATTCGTTTTTCTTTTGTTTATTCTCAAATTTATTGTTATTTTATTTTTTATGTGGTCCTATCATTTTCCAATGTGGTCCTATCATTTATAATTTTGTTGCCATTTGTTCAGATAATGTTAAAAATGGTATGTTTTGTATATATTTCTTAGATTTAAAAGTTATTTAGCGTTATTCAATTTCATAGCCAAAAAATGTAATTTAGGGGTGGTCCTATCATTTTGTAACGCACTTTAGTAGTTATTACGGTATTGTTATTTACAAGTTTGTCGACTCAACACAAACATTTAAACATTATTGAATTTTCATAAAAGATTTTAAGACATAAAATTAACTCACTTTCTGTTTCGATGCTTGCTTCTCGTCACTGTCTAGCATTTCTGATTGATCACTATCAATCGATTGTTTTGGACTCTAAAATTTAAATTTAGTCTTATTATTGTTATTATTATAGTAAGAATTACTATTATCATAGTATTAAGAAGAAAATATTAGAAAAACCAGTTGTTTTTGCGGATTATCATCTTGTGGCATAAGCGCGTCGACTTGAAGAAGCTCCCATTCGTTGAGAGAAGAGGTTGGCTCCATTACAATTTTACTTAACAAAAATTAAAGTAAAGATTTAAATAAATGAAAAAAAACTTTTAGATAATGCGAGGATCACCCTCGTTAAAACAAAAGAAAAATTATGCAACTTTTTATAAATGATAATTAAATTAAAGGTTAAAAGCAGGATTTAAAGCGATAATTTAATAAATAATAGAAAAATAAATGGAAGCAAGACTTGAAAAAGAGAATTTAGAAACATTAACTAACACAAATGCAATGAAATTTTAGCTAACTTTTTTTCTTGACTTTTCCTTTTTTACTTTCAATTTCTTCTGGTCCTTTTCTCCGCTTTTAGACTTGCTGCTTTGGCTCTGAAAGTGCACTCTTTAACGTCAGTGATTACTTTTTCAAAAGTTTGTTTCCCGTTTGAAAACTAATCTTATTACTCAAAGTTGAGAGAATTGGGAAAAATTGGTAAAAAGGTTTACTTTGTTATCTTATTGTAAGCTATATGTGCATTTAGTAAGGAGAATCTCTTTAGAACTACACTTTAGAACTTTATTTTCATCTTTATCACTTTAGAACTCTATTTAGAACATTGAAACTCTCTTTAGAACTTTAGAATACACTATTTGACTATTCTTTGAAACGTTGGCTCTTTAACAACTTACTTCTTTCCTTTCCTTTTATTCCTTTCCTCTTTTTATCTTGATTCTTGTATTTCCCATAGCCAACTGATGAGGCTTTTTTTGGAGATTCGTGCTCAACAACATTATGCTTTTGGTGTTTCGTGAGGCCGACTTTCGACGTGTTGTAGAGATTTTTGATTGTCTCTCCCATGTGCTTCAACTTGAATAACTCTTTGATTCCATTCTCAATCTCATTAGGTGTGATCGTCCGGCCGCGATTCTCGTTTGGATCATTCCGTGCCGCTTCAAGCATGAGCTTCTCTTGGCGATACTCGGCTAACGACTTTTGAAGGTTCTCGAGCTTTGTGCGATTCCCGCCAATCTCTGTGCATTTCTCTTCCTCGATGATAGTCTGCATGACGTATTTCTCGAAAGCATCGTTGTATGGAAGCACGGAGTTTTCTTGTAAGTAGCTAGCGAAGCGAAGCGACGTCTTGAGGAGCTTTGTTGCTCTTCAGTATACTCTTTGCTTAATTTCTCGTGGTCAGCGAGCATTTGCTTTTGGTCTTGCTCGCGTTCTGATTTTGTTCAATGAGATCTCTCGTTTGCCGGTCATCAGTTTTGATAGCGACCTTTTTCTGCTCATAGCGAATGTGCATATGAGATTCCACGCGCAGCCACACTTTCGACAATTCAATCCTGACATTGCGGAACAAGCTTTGAGATGAGGCTCGGGCACCTTTTCGACGTCAATCCCCTTGAGATAGCAACGGTCGTGACACACTTGATTGTAGACAACTCGATTCTCTTCGGTGCCCGCCATTTGAACAACCTCGATACACTTTGGGTCAGTGCAAACCGTCTTTGGATAATCCAACTCATACACCTCAAGTCCAACCAGCGGAATCTTCAACCTTTTCTTCAACTCGTTCAAGTTTTCGTCAGTGTTCTGGATTTCGTTTTACTGTTGGCAATCACCGAGATGTTTGACTCGATCAACTCGTTGACGATCGCGAGCGGCTGCGCGAGTCCCGTAGATAATCGAGCGCACTTGGCTCAACGAAACCGTGCTCTGTGTCTCGAGTCCAATTTGTTCCGCGGCAAACTCGATGAATCGATGTGTCTCGTCAGCAGACTTGTTCCAGCTCTCCGCGAAATCGCTGAACGTCGCATCGTCAACATGAATCCCATTCGCATGAGCGCAAACGAGCCGGAAACGCCTCATTGTCGGTGCAGTACATGTTCTCCTTTGTGAGCTTGATGTGAAGTCTCCTCTTGTCTCCTAACTCTTTGAGAAAAGCTCTGAGAGGCGTGATCGTGTCACCCGGACTGTACATGCTGCCGCGAGAGTTCGTGAAAAAGAAGACGAAATTGTTGACGGCGTCTTTGTGCAGCTGGAGCATCAGCTCGCTCACGCAAAAGTGGAAATTCGGTGTCAACCGAGCATGGTTTGCTTTGAAGAGCAAGCAGATCGCATGCAGATGAGTGTATTGACCGATAGCGCTCAAAATCTTTCGCGTGTTTTCTCTGTCTTGTTCGATTCCACGCGTGTCACCAATCCCGGGAGTGTCGATGATGTTGAGAATGTATTTGGGCGTCTCAAATTTGTAAGTCCTTGGTTCTTGCGTTGCCGATTGTCCCTTATCGGAGAAGACCTCATTCTCGTCGTTTTTTCCGTTTGTAGGATGCAATTTGACATCGACTCCGTATCTCGAAATCGCTTCGTAGAAAGGAAACTGGCTGGGAAATGAGACAGATCGGCTTTGAGGCTTGCAGGGCGTCTTCGAGCGATTCATACTCGAGATAGTTGGCCATACCGTTGATCCAAGTCGATTTCCCGACACCCGTCTCTCCAAGAACGAGAATATTCAGCACCGTTTTGTCTCTCTTTGTTTCTTGGATTGCTCGGCAAAGAGCTTGTTGGTGATTTGCGGCGTTTCGTCTATCTCCTCGTCCCCTTCGCCCTCCTCTGATTCGAAGCTCTCTTCTGATTGCTCGGATTCTTCCTCGCTTTCTTCAGACTCACTCGTTTCTTTTGTTTCTTTTGGTTTCTCTTTTGTCACTTTCTTTTCTGAGGTTTGCCCCACGAAAGTTGTGGGGTTGTGCTTTCTTGTTTCGACTTGAGGTGCTCAGCAAACGCCGTGATATCCTGGTTGAGAATTGCCTGAAAGAGCTGTTAAATTTTTATCTTTGTTTGTCCTTCTTACAATCAGATTCTACAAGTCATTTAAATTATCAAAATTCAAAATCAAAATCTTGTACATAAGATTTTTAAGGTGATCAGGATCGTTTTGATTTTTGACTTACCTATTGGAAACGTGGGGTTTTGGGGAAATGTTTGATGTTGCTGAGGCTGTTGTGGGAAGAAAGGCATTCCTTGAGGTCCAGCCGTTCCACTTCCTTGACCATTCGTTGGATTCTGTTGACTATAACCTAAAAAAATTGAGTAAATGCATTAATATTAAATTTCTTAAAAGTTTTGTTTTAATGATTTTTATTGCATACCCATTTGTGGCCAGAAGGCTGCATGTGGATTCTGCGAATTTGGTATCGTTCCGTTAGGATCACACTGTTGTTGACCATAAACTGAATGCAGCAAAGTTTTGAAAGATTACCAAAATGTTACAATTTTGTGGATATCCATTTTGTCCAGCGGGTGTAAAGTTATTCGGCAACTGTTGATGTTGTTGATAACCGGGAGGCGCGGATGTCGGGATGGAGCCGGGCGGAAACATGTTGGCGAAAGACTCGTACTGACCTAAAAATGGATCGCTTTTAGTAAGCATATGAAATGAAAAAGTTTTTCTAAAAGTTTAGCTTAAGATTTTAAGTTGCTTTAAAGAAAAAAAGACCGTGTTGTGGATTACCATGTGGATTGGGGTGTTGGAATGGCGGTTGTCCTGGCGGGGAAGTCGCTGTGAAAGGCGGCGCCACCACGTATTGTGTTCCATACGGCCCTAGATAGTATGACAATCTTGTTTTAGAACAATTCTTTAAATTACCTCCAAAATCTCATTGATTAATTATAGGTTAAGCTTAAGTTCCACTTTTGCTACAGTAGCTTTTGTACCCACCTTGACGGGCATTGTACGGATTTTCGTGGGGATGAGGGGGGCTCATGCTTTGTTGAGGTAATGGGGACCGCCGCTTCGTGGGTAGGGAAAACGACCGGGCATTCCTAAAGTTAACATTTCATAGAATGAGAAACACTCTAAACTTTACCATGCTGTTCATTGGCTGCTGGATTTTCCTGGTTCCACACGCCGCCGAGGTTTGCCGGTTTTCCGTCATGGGCTAAAGCTTGCAATGTCACCTTACTCCCTTACGTTTACGGTGTAAAATCTTAATCTTAATCTTAAACTAGGGCCCACTAGGGAACTTACAGATATCAAAACAATGAAACCTAACCCTCCAACGTGAATCTATAGCTTTACCCCATCTATTTTTACCAACCTATACATAGCTATTTGAAAAAGCATGCCTGTTGGGTGAATAAGCATGAAGCACACGAGACGCATTTGTGGAAACGCTGCCAATCGTGTGCCCTGATCGATGGCGACGTCTCTCGAGAAGACATCGGCAAAGGTAACGATGACGCATCGAGGATGTTCACTTCTCAGATCGAACGTGCCCTCCCGCTCAACGCTTTGTACCCTCTCCAATAGCGGTCTAGCATCGATGGCGACCAGAATCTGGCAGACAGCATCCCAATCAGAAGCAGCTCTCTTTGCCTCTTCAGCGACGAACGACTCGGGCAGATTGACGATCACCATCTTTCTCTCGGCGGCCGGAAAGTCGACGTTCTGGAATTGTTGCTGGCGTGAGTCGTCGAGGCTCATTCGTTCGAGGGAATCCCGCTCCGACTCGTTGCAATCCACCTAAAGTTTTTGTACCAATAAACAAGCTCGCCGTCAATCTCAGGATTTTGAACTTTAAAATATCTGAAAAAGGCTCTAAAAGGTTTCTAAAAGGTTAGCAAGTTTGCTCTAACAAGAAAACAACACTTACCTGTCTGTTGTGCAAAGATCCACTTAAGTTGGTCATGTTTTTGATTGTCCATTCTAAAGGTTCTAAAGATTATTGAATAGCTACAAAGTTTTTAAAATACAAAGCTGTTTTTAAATAACAGCTGAAATATTAAAAGTAAAAGAGAAACAAAAGCTTTATTGATACAGAAAATTCGAAAAACAGTTTTCATTTCTTTCCTCTCGGTTTCACTTCGATAAAATTAAACCTCGGAATCTCAAGCAACTTTTGATAAGCATCCGAATTTCTCAATGCATCACCAACGATTGGATCGTTTTTAGCTGCAAAATTTTGCGGCTATAGTTTCCAAAGGTGATCTTTTCGCCCGAAGCCTCAACGCTGTCGAGAAGTTGTTGCTGTTGATGGAGAACAATCAGCTTCTCCAAGCGTTCAATTTTCGATCGATCATCTGGCTTCAACATTTTCTCCAATTCTCCAATGCAAAGCTCGACGTATTTTCTCGAAATTCTTATCCAAAGGAACACTGAGTTAGCCTCTAAAAATCGGCATAAGGTTTGGCGGGGACTTGAACTTTTGGATAGTTTTCGGTCAAGTTGTTCAACTTTGCTCAGTTTCGATTATCAACTCGGCATTGCACGCAAGCTCATCACTGAGTAAAGCCCTGTCCGCGGCGGTTTTTGAATCAGTCAGTTGGACGATGCCCGTTTTTTCTCTTGTGAGTACGAGATGTGTCCATGGATCTGCCAAGAGCACTTTGCAAGTTGTACATAAGCCATCACTACCAAAAATTGGGCTTTGACGTAACGCCGGATCACCCGGTTGATTTTCTTTCACGTTCGGTAATGGACAAGTTTTGCAAGCAAACCAGTTTATGGAAAGTCTTATTTGTGTTCGTGCTTGGGTCGATCAGTTGCTCGATACAATCCTTTCCCCAACAAACCATGTCCCGTGTCGTTTGAGGTGTTTCTACGAAGTAGTCGTCACTAACAGTGTGAGTCGCCTCGAATTCGACTAACTTTCCTCCAGATACGTCGCGTGTCTTCTGTTGAACGAGTCGCTTTTGTGCTCTTTTCTTCAGATCAATAATTCAACCAAAATTCGGCAAAGCTCATTGGTGCTTCCTCGAACCACACTTGTCACCCTTGTCTCATTTACTAAATGGCTGCTCAAGTTGGCGACCCAATTGAACAGTCGATGCGTTTCACAAACAGTGTGCTTCCAGGTTTCTGAGAACTTTTTGAGAAACGATTGCTCAATACTGACTCCTTTGTGATGAGCGTCAAGAAGCGTATCGCCTCGTTATCAACGCAGAAAACGTTTTTTGAAGTAAGTGAATCTTGCTTCCACTCGTTTCCTTGACCTCCTCGAAAAGTTGCTTCAAGCCAACCATCGTGCCGCCCGGCTGGTGAAAAGTGGAGCGCGAGTTTGTGAAGACGACGACAATGTTTGGCAAAGCGTTTTGATGCAAGTTGGCCAACAACTCGGTGATGGTGTAGCGGAGTGACAAGCCGAGTCGATTCACATTCGGCTTCAAGAGGAGACAAATCCCGTGGATCGTTTCACAACTCGCTGCGCACTTCACCACCGAGCGCATATTCTCCATGTCGAACTCGACCCCTTTGTGTCCCCAATACCCGGAGTGTCGATTAGATTAAAAGCAACCATGTCCGTGACAAATCGATAGACTTTTGGGGCCTGGGTACAAGATTGGCCAGTGCGTGCATCTCCTCGTTTCCATCTGGCTGCAAAGCTATGGTCGGCTTCATGTCGACGGTATCACCTGTAGGCCAATTGAAAAACATTGGAATCAAACAAGCGGGTCTTTTCTCTTGCAAGGCGTCATCGAACGAGTCATACTTCATGTAGTTGGCAATTCGTTGATAAACGTCGACTTGTCGACTCCCGTCTCGCCAATGAGGATAATGTTGCGCTCCCTCTTGACGACCGGCGGGGAGATGGAGTCGAATAATCGGAAAGG